CCACTTCTCCCCCATCTGACAGAAAAGGCAGGATCTGATGCTAAATGGGCCAGACAGAGCCGGTGGTCCTGACCTCAGAACCCATCGTGAGAGCCCCCACGTGCTCCAAAAGCAACCGTTCTGAAGCCCGGGACTTGAGAAGAGGCGGGGAGTGGCATGAGGAATGTGGGCCCCTAGAAGGAAAACCAAATTTACTAATTGTTTTCTTTTTTTTTTTCCAAATATATATTTTATTGATTTCTTAAAGAGAGGAAGGGAGAGGGCTAGAGAGTTAGAAACATTGATGAGAGAGAAACATCAATCAGCTGCCTCCTGCACACCTCCTACTGGGGATGTGCTCACAACCAAGGTACTTGCCCTTGACCGGAATCGAACCTGGGACCTTTCAGTCCACGGGCCGATGCTCTATCCACTGAGCCAAACCGGTCAGGGCTAATTGTTTTCTTTAAAACAAAGTACAGAACTGTAATTTTGGGCATGTCTTGCTTCTGATCTGCCATCCTAACTCCTGAACTGTCGGGCATCTGGGTGAATGAAACTGCAGCGACTCCCTGGGGCGGAGCAGGGGCAGGCAGGGTCCGGACTCGCCAGCTCCTGTCTCTGGCTTTCAGGGTGACCATGTACGACTACCAGGCCATGTGCACACCCCCCAGTCACCACCACAGCGCTGCCCGGCCCCTGGTCAGCGTGAGTGTCACCCCAGACCTCCCCTCTGCCAAGTGGCAAGCCCTCCTGGTCCCTGGTCTCTCCAGCCTCAGGCATCTGGCCCAGGGCCCCTCTTGACTCTGACCAAGAAGTCCTCCCCCACTTCTGCCTCATCCCCCCCCACACCCCCAGCTGTGCAGGGCTTGTCTGCGGGCCTCTGCGAGTAGTGTGGTCACACAGGCCATCAGGGACCCTGAAGTGTCACCAAGAGGCTCATCAGGACGAGGCCCTGCCTGGCCTTCTTGATGGGCTTGTCGAACCCGCTGCCGGCCCTTGCACAGGAGTCTCTCGGATAACCAGCTTCCCAGGCTTCCCAGCTGGGAAGGGGTGGGTGGTGGCAGCAGGACGGGTGTCCCGAGGTGTGTTCTGTCCCCCAGCCCAGGGTTAACTGGTTGTCTCCCTTCTTCCCAGCCTATCTCAGCCCTCCTGACTGCAACCAGATGGCTGGTGAATGAGCTCTTGCTGTGAGTGGGGGTGAGGTGGGGGGGCAGCTGGGGACTTCATGCAGGTGTGTCTTCTGAGGGAGCCAGAGGAGGAGGGAAGGTCCGGGGAGGAACTGTCCTGTGTGTATGGGGCCTCCTCCCTGCTGCTGCCAGGGGCACCTTTCTGCTCATTTGGGGACCCCCGGGCAGGTAAGAGGATGTCCAGGAGAACAGGGCTGGGCCGGGGAGCAGCGGGGAGCGCCAGCGCCCCGGCCACTCAGTCGGATTTGGTGCCGTGTCTGACAGGTTCCTGCTGGAGTGGAGTGCCTGGGGCTCCCGGAGAGCCGGCCACGGGGCCCAGGGTGAGCACCTGTGACTGCATGACCTTGTGTTTGCTACCAGTGCCATTTCAGTCAGCTAACTGGAAACCTCCCCCTCTGGGGGGTGACAGAGGGGAAGGGGCTCTGGGCAGCTCACTGTTCATATCTCATCCTGCTTGGCCTTCTCTCGTCACCTTCCCCTCCTGGCTCCCCACCTCTGTGTGACATCACACCATCTCCGGACACCACTGCTCCATGTGACATCACTCATCCCATGTGACATCACCACCTTGTGACATCCTGACCTCGTGTGACATTATGCCCACCCTGTGCTGGGCCTCATGTCCTGGGCAGCCAAAGCTGTCTTCCATCACTGTAAGTAGCACCCACTGTGGAGCCGGGTGGGGGGAGCAGGAGGCAGCCTGGGGCTGCAAAGGGCCCCCTCAGCTCTCCCTTAAAGGAGTGCATTCATCCCGGGGCACCCCGACTTGGGATCTCCCCCAGTGTAAAGCCCCATGGCTTAGGGGTGGGGTGCAGCCCAGACCTCATCCCCCACAAGCACAGTCCGACCCGGGCGAGATGGGACCCAGCCGTCTCCTCGGGGAGGACGTTGAGTTCCCAGAGGAAAGGGGGATGCGGTCCAGTGGCTGCGGCCACATCAGGTGAGCGGCCACCAGGTCACCCTGCGGCACAAACAGTGCGGCCTCCAGCTCAGGGTTGCAGGGTGGCTGGCAGAGGCCTCATCTGATCACAGGGACACTCCTGGGATAATGCAATTCCCAAAGGTCTGACCACAAATCAAAGCCATGTCCTGTCAGCCAGTTGGGACGCTGACCACATTCCCAGGAGGGTGAGGCTACCTGGTCTTACCTGCAAAGGGACATGGACCGCTTTCACTCCCTGGGTGGCCCGGG